TTCTTGCTTCGTACCCAGCCATGCTAGACTGGGCTTCTCCACCAGATCTTCTCATCAGCAGCTCCCACGGCAAGATCTGTCATACCAGGTTCTTTACTATGCAGCTAATGCAACTACACACATTTTCTTAAATCCGTGTATTACTGACTGGAGCAAGAAACAACTAAGGGGAAACAAGACTAAGAGCCATCCTCCCTTCGTCTCAGCCAATACTCTATCACACATTTGACTTTGGTATTCAAGCTAACAGCCTCCTGGCTTGAGCAGAAGGAAGACAGGCAATCTCAGTGAGGTTTCTTCAACCCTGGGAATATTTCCTACTTTGGTTCAAAGCACAGATTTGTTGATCTTCCTCATTCACATGATCTAGTTTTCCTATAGAAAAGCAGACATGGGCAGAAAACATTCCTGAACCCTCCACAACAAATTACAGAAGACTCTTCTCATTACACACTTCCAGAGTGAGCTTACCAGCACTCTCTCAGGGCCAAGGATCGTGCTTGTTTTTTAAAGTTATCACAGCTTTTTTTCTGCTCAGGCCATTGTTTCAGGATGCCGCTCTGGCAGCACACTGCTCCAGTTCGCGTACATCCCTACCCCTGCCAGCACATTCCCAAACTTCTGCTGTGCCCCCTATTACCCTCCTGCGACAGCTCCCGAGCTGCACAGGGAGATGGCTGAAATGCTCCGGACTCTCCCCCCCCAGCATTTCGTCTGGCTGACAGCACAGATAGACAGACAATTGTGCTAGCACAGCTGAAGAGTCAAAATACAAGAGGCAGGAACAGGCAGCCAGTGGATCATGGCAAGGTGCCACAACTCCCCACCCCGGAGAGCTTAAATCAGCACCTCACAGTGCTCTGCCTTCACTGGCAAACAGCCTAAACCATTCTTTAGGGTATGAGAACAGATATATAAAAAAGATTTTATTACAAGTTCTAACTCTAGGATTTTGTTAGCTTTATTTTCCAGACAAACAGTTTTTCATCACTAATTCCCCAGGGTGTTCCAAGAACGGGCCGAAGGTCACCCATCTTGCACAGTGATCTCCTGGCTTGGAGTAGGCTGTACCCTACAGCAAAGCCCTGACCACTGGTAGAAGGAGGTAAGAACATCCACCACACAAGCAAGACCAGCTTGGAAAAACCCTGAAGCTTGCAACTGTTTCCAAAGGGAGTTACCTTCTCCTGAATCTGCAGCTCAAGAGAGACTACTGCTGTCTCCCGAGGTTCCGGCCACCTCCTATCCTCTGGCATTTGAAAATTATCAGCTTTGTGCATAAACTGTGCAAATGGCTCTCAGGTCATTAACTCCATCTGTTGCAGGAATAAAATTCAGGGTGTCCTGCTCTACGTGAGCTGGTTACTTGCCTCTGCTGCAATCCATCGGTGAAGCACCAGGTTCCCCTTTACTCGGCCACTCCACGTCCTAGCAGGGCTTACAAGAGAGCATTTTTGGGAAGTTACTGGATACAGAAGTAACAAAGGAAGGCAACCAGTTCCAAACTCAGTACATAATGTTCTCTCTACCTTACAGTCTCCAAGTGCTTCTTGATAATACTCAATCTTAAGCATTAAACAAGCATTTTCATCTTCAGGAGAAAGATGCAAAGACACGGAGACAGAACCCACAAACTTGTATTTTCTACAGGAGCAGAGCAAGAAGATAGCGGCAAGATTCTGGACTAAGTGATCATATCTCGGGAAAGCTTCCCCAATTTGGGAACAGGCCACCAGACAGCTTTGCCTTTTCAAATGCAGAAGTCTCAACAGAGTAGAAAAGAAAGTTCCAAATCAGATCTAAGAGCCTGAATACTCCCTAAACACATCTCACCAGAATCAATGAAGTCACACTCCCTAAATGGCCTTCAGGGCCGCACTGTCATGCAAAGATGCACTGGTTTTAACTTGGAAGTGACCTGAACTGGTAACCAGCACCAGTCATCACCAGACAGCTGTAAGCACACAAGCAAGCCCGGGCTTGCTTGCCCCGTTTACATCATGGTGCTGCTCCTTCAGTCCTTCCCGATTTTTCTCTCTCCTCCACCATACTGTACCAGTCTGTGGGTTACTGGTCACCACGTTACCCGTCTGTCAGCAGCAAAGCATTCAGATCTCAGTCACCATCATCCCTCTGCTTCCCGAGTCTTGTCACACAGACCTACGGCTGCCCCAGCAGAGCAGCATCCCACCACCCAGACACCTGCATCACACCGTGGGATCCTGGGACAAAGCAAGCCAAAAACAGAATTAAAAATCCAGTGCAATACATTGTTGGTAAGCAAAAGGAAAAAAAAATAATCAAGTTCAGGATAGAATTTTAAAAAGACTAGTCTATTAATCTGGCAAAAAGAATATATTATTTTGAACAATCAAGAAGGTTAAGACTCTCTAGCAGAGACTGCACACACAGAGTTCGTTATAAATATTAATTAGTTAAGGTTGCCAGATATTGATGACTAGTATGACACGCATTTGTTTTTAATAAGCACAGCCCTTGTTAGGCTTAAGCTCTAATCAGAGCTGCCTAAATTCCCACAAAGGTAAAAGAAAGCTTTTTTCTATGGGTGTTTTTTCCTTCCTTTTTCATGAGCCAGCATACACCTGCACAACCTCAAATTTAATTTTTAAAATAAACACTGGTAATAGCTAATCTTCTTGAGAGGAAAATGAACGTGCAGATCACATTTTAATAGGTACAAGGCTTCCAATATTTTAACAGATATTAATTCTGGAATTCTGGAATTCAATTCCAGATCCAACCCATTCAAAACTCACCATGAAACGTTCCTGCTTTTTAACCATCCCAGCTACAAAACTAATCGGGAACAGAGCCCTGAACAGCTGGCTTTGCTTGGGTTACATCACCAAAACGCAGCTACAACAAGATCCTCATAGCCTCATTATTCTGCGTAGCTCTGCATACAAAATCCAGCTTGTTCTCCCAACGGTTGGCTCAGTCATTTTGTTAACAAACAACATTTTGTTGTGATCAATAAAATAAGCAGTTCTGACTGCCAGGATGCACACAGAAGAAAGGGAAATTGGGAATAAAGATAGAGAGGTGCTAGTTCAGCAGAGCAGCTTTGACTATAACCACACTCGCATCCCCAGAGTGCCACCAAACCTTAAATTAGTTTTCACCTACTGTGTGCTAGACCCGATAAGCCAATAATGTTCGTCTCTCCTGCTGCCCTATTGAAATGGCTGGTCCTGAAGCAGAAGCTGGCAGGGAGCGAGGGAAGACTCAGAACAGTCAGCCAGCTACACACAGAAACTGTTGCCACAAACTCCTTGGCCATTTTCACGCCTGAACAGCTGTTTTATAGGCAGTATTTCACACAAAGCAGACTAACAATAAATAGGGCTCTTTGCCTTTTAAACTTTTCATAAAGCTGATTAATATAATCTATGCTAAATGACAGAAGTTCCTATACAAGCAGTTCCAGATCCTCCACTATATAAAAAAGCAAAAATTGTGACTTTAAAGCAACACTGCATTCAACTGGAGTCATCCTAAATAATATTACAATGCAAGGATGCAAATTTATTAAACAAGCACAACTGTAAAAGCTAAAATTTGAGTCCAACGAAATTTCCTTTGGAAATGGGTGGTAGGGGAAACGGACAAACCTTAAACTTAATAAAAATAATTCTTCCCAGACTGCAAACCTCGTCCACCATTATTTCCACCTCTGACCACTACACGTGCCCGATAGAAGAGAGTTCAACAGCCATCTGTGTTGCTAAGAAGGTGCTAAACCAGAAGTCAATCAAACCCCTGGACATCATTTTTTTTTCATTATGTCAATTCCCCTTGATATTTAATTCAATTTTTGGAGGGAGCAGAAGGGAAAGGAAGGGAAGTTAGTCCTAAAGTGAAGATCTCATCCCACTTGGTCGCATTTATATTCATTATTTCTTGCCTTGTCCCAAAAAGCCTAGAAGGAAGGAAGGAAAAGATGAGAAAATAGGGAAGGGGCATTTTGTGGGTTGGTTTGTTGATTTATTTTAAAAACCATCCACATGACTACCCCCACCCAAAGGATGCACAGAAGAAGACAATTTTCTCCCCCATATTTCATTAAGTTAAGTGCTATAAAGCATGCCAAGTTACTTTGCAGTATCAACAAACCAGCATGGTTCCTGACCAAATAGCTTTAGGCTAAGTTTCATTC